GTTAATCTCACGCAAGGTGTTTAGCACCTGAGGGTGGAGACCATTCACTTGAATCGGCCGCCAGCATCAGCAGATTATGATATTGTCGCTAGGTGTCGTTTTTAAGTCTTTAATTTGCACTTTATCGTTTAATTGGTACTTTATGATTTTATTCATCTTTGAATTGATATTCTATGCGTTATTACAGACCATTTGCAACAATTCCCCATTCGTGATTTTTCTTTGGGGTCGATTTAGGAAATTTCTGGGATTTCGAATCTGTATTTGAATCAGCTGCTATGCTCGGTTTAGTCCCGAATCGGCGGCTGAAAGGGCGGCTACGAATCGGCGGCCCAATCGGCGGCCTACTTCAGGTTGGTAGTTTGCCGGAAGTTTGATGTCTTGGACCTTGATTGCAAGGCCGTGTCTCTTATTATTTTCTTCCCGGACCATAACCCGAAGGTAAATGAACGTATTCGTAAGTTATAAGCAAACCCTGAGGAAATCCTGTACTGCCATGGGACACATTTATTATTATCATTTGTGCAACACAAGTGCTAACAGTTCAATGATCTTTATAATTTGACTCAACAAGTACCAGGGACTATAATTTGTATATATATATGTTAACTGTTACATGTATGATCAGTTGTCATGTCAACATGACTATCTGCGATACGCAATACTATATGATATGATATGAATTTTTATGATATGATATGATTGATACACAATGATACTCCATGATAACGTTAACGGGGGGTGCCCTAATTCCGAGCTACTATATGTTCCATGCAAACGCACAGACCTTTGGTAATAGTTTATCTGACCAAAAACCCGCGCAACATTAGATATAATATTGACAGATAAAGATCACAACGATTAAAGCTGCACAGCTGTGTATTTCACTTGAGTGTAGCGCCTTGCACCCAAGCGTAATGGCTCACGAAACGCACGGCAGTTTTTTGGTCATTTTGCCGGTGGAACGTTCTATCGCAACAGGGGTGCCCTAATTCCGACCTAGTGTTTAACACAGGTCGATCTGAGAAGAGAGTTTTGATGATAATATGATATCTTTACCCACAGGTTGACCAGTCCTGGTCAGACGTCCTTGTCATTGGTGCCACAGTTTCCAGTCCAGTCATCAGTTAACTTCAGAGGCATCAGTACTGCTAACGTCAGTATGTCCCCAGAGGACTGGGATGCACGATGGACAGAAGGGCGGATCGGCTTCCATAAGGCCGAGGTCAACACGTAAGTATTAGACTTCCCCTCTTTCATAACATGGTTCATGTACTACAAGTACTACATTCTGACTAAGTACTAGCAAGAAATGTACTTTTCTTCAATGAATGATCAGTTAAAGATGTTATGGTTTTCTAATGATAACTGTTATGACAATGAATTTTATTTAAAATTAACATTCTCACACGTTATGTGTACTGTCTGCAGGTGCCTTCAGAAGTATGTGGATGACATGACTCGCAGGAGACAGAAAGTCAAGGTGTTGGTACCTCTGTGTGGGAAGTCGGTGGACATAAAATGGTGAGTGTACCTCAGATCAGCCACTCCCTATTGGAATGAGCTGGACATTGCGATTGGAGAATATTGTTGTGGTCGATGATATACTTAATGGTGCTGAGTCTTCCATCAGCCAGCCTTACAATACAGTTACATCATTTACCAGCCACCTGAATTTTCTGTGATTATCACCACTCAGGCTGGCTGACCAGGGTCATACAGTGGTTGGAGTGGAGTGCTCCTTACAGGCAGTGGAAGCATTCTTCCAGGAGAGCGGCCTCACCCCGACCATCCGTGATGTACCCAACCTTAAGGGAGGAAAGCTCTTCCAGGTGCAACTTCCAGCTGTTTAAGATTTTTAGTTGGGTCTCTTTTGATGTTAGGGCTATCCTTTGTTGTTAGGGTTTGGGGTTGTCAATTTTTAATCTGCTAATAATCAATGGTGAATTATCTTTGATTTTGAAGAATGTTTTTCCTATGATGGTTTATAAATGTCTGACTATGTGGCTTGTACATTGTATATGCCTCGAATGTTGCTCAGTATTACTTGTAAGAGTCTAATGCAGCGAAATAAAATCTACTTTGTGTACTTTTCTAATAATTGATTAGCTCCAGTTATAACTCTAGAAGTATTATGAGCTATATAAGCTGAGTATGAGCTATATACATATAAGCTGAGGTTGTACTTTTCTTTCCAGAGCCAAGATGGAAAAGTTTCTCTGTATGTATGTGACTTCTACGACTTTTCTAGGTGAGATGTATTTTATACCTGCTGATAATTATGGATGTCTTAGAAGGTTATTTTCTTGCCTGGAAGGATTACAACTCTTGTGTTTTTTTTACTGGTCATATATTTTTTCTCACCCATTCAAATGTTAACTCAGGGATGTAGAAGGAGACTTTGATGCAGTGTGGGACAGAGGCTCTTTTGTTGCCATCAACTCAACAGACAGGAAAAGGTAGGAAAAAAACTATAGTACCCATAGCAGATATATGTGCTATTTTCCAGTGATTTCAGTCTTTAGCATTATAAACATCATTTTTAACCGTAGAAATAAAGCTTCACTTTACATCGATGTCCTAACTTGTAATTAGAGGGCTCTATCCATTTTTATCCATGGTACAGGTATGTAGACCTGATCCTGTCTCTTATGAAGCTGAGTGGATGCTGCCTTCTCGTTACACTGGAGTATGATCAAAGCAAACATGCTCGTAAGTAATTTATGACACACTATCAAATTGTGTAGGAATTCATACCATATGTCTTTAGAAAAAGTGTTTCCATGTTCCACATTTATTACAACTTAGGACAAGTACAGTACATGCTATGCCAAAAATTACCCTGTGTTCGTTTGTTTTGCATTGTACTTCAGGTTCATCCTGAGTTTTTCTTTCTACAGCTCCTCCTCACAGCATCCCACCATCTGATGTGCAAGACAGCTATGGTAGGTCTCACCATGCAGTTTTGGGTGTTAGATGTTTACTTCTGCAACTCTTAGCAAAGTTAGGATACTAAGGATAGTTTGTAATTTCATTGTCAAATTTGTCACCAGATATGCCTGAGGCTGAAACCTTGAGCCATCTCTCCTAACAGGTGCTAAATGTGATGTGCGCCTCCTGGAGTCAGTTGATGGTTTGACAGAGAGGCACAGGACGGGCTGGGGACTGAGCTCCCTTCTTGAACACTCCTACCTCATCACACCAAAGTAGGCACGGATTTATTTATTTACAATTGTGTGTCAGAATTTTCATCATTGTTTATGTTGATGTTGTGGGACGTATGGTTCTAGTTTGTTGGGTTATAGCTTGTGACTTCTGAATTCTTGCCATGGCTTGTGTCCTGTACATGTGTCTCTACATTCTAAAGTGTTCCTCGCTGATTTTTCCCCACAGACTACCTGAGGGACAAACTGTCAACAAATACGGAGAGGTGGAGAACTTGCTGGTGACTCCTGAGGACTGGGAGGTTCGATGGGGCAAAGGTCACACTGGGTTCCACAAGTCTGAAGTTTGTGGGTAAGGAGAACAGTCCAGTACACTGTCACACTGTTGATACACATGTACTTAAAAGATTCTATAGCTAAGAATGAACCACTTCCAAGTAGACAAGCAACAGCATGTACATGTACATGTACATGTACATGTAAGTCTGCTATCATTTTCCCAGCATATAACCCATGCACAGCAATATATCTATACATGTATATACATATATAGATATACACTTAAATAGATCCAATTCATATTTTGCAGTTCTCTTCAAAAGTACATAGCAGATATGACAGGAGGGAGGTCAGAGGTCAGGGTTCTGGTGCCCCTGTGTGGAAAGACATTGGACATGAAATGGTGAGACAAGCGTGTTTGGTAGTTTGTTATTTCTTATTGATAATGGTTACTATAAACAGACAGGTCTGTACAACCCTGGTTTGTGACTGTTGCAGGCTTGTTGACCAGGGACACACGGTTGTTGGTGTGGAGTTTGCCAAACAGCCTGTTGAAGAACTCTTCCAGGAGAACAACATGACTCCAACTGTTAGTGATGTCCCAGGGATGCCAAATGGAAAGCTCTACCAGGTAACAGATCATGCTTTCAATCAGCAAACAGTCCAGTTTGTTGTATAGAATGATATCACTAGATTTATATTTCCTAAACCTCATCTGTATATAGTTTTTTTTTGCTTTGGTACAAATTTTTTATGTATTATAGTGTATATGAGGGTTTGTATATACTGCTTGTCCTGCCTATTGTAACTTTTTTTTGTTCTGTATGCAAACTCTTTCAATTCAGGGATTATAATAATAATAGTTTATTGACAACAATCCTTGTACATGGCAGCGTTTAAACCGCTGAATTGCGTACACAGGTTTAAAAACAATTAAACAATAAGGTGGGCTAAACAAACAAAGGACATTGACAAACTAGGTACAAACAACTTAAACAAATACTAGCTGTACGCAGTTATAAATTAGATATATAAGTGATTAAAAACAATATTGGTCCGGTACTGGGAGATTTCAACCTAGGTCTGCTTGTTCCTGGATTTTCATCCCTGCTGCAACGTTTGCTTTTTGGTGTTGAAATAAATAAATAAATGACAAATATACATAAAAATAACAGTACTTACTTTTTGCAATAAAGGGTTCAATACAAATCTTAAGTTTTTTTCCTGTTTCAGAGTGGAAAGCTGTCTGTCTATTGCTGTGACTTTTTTGATTTCACAAGGTAGGATTTTTACTGTTTCTTTCTTGTTCAGTCATAGATGTTTATTGTAATTTGAAAATTCTCTGATTTTTCAAAGAAAAATGGACAAAAAAATGAAATTGTACAGGTCAAAATCCTTCCTCACCCAAGCAATCTTGCATCTTTTTATTTGTGTGTACAGTGAAGTAGCAGGACAGTTTGATGCTGTGTGGGACAGGGCTTCACTCATAGCTATCAATACAGCAGACAGGGAGAGGTAGGTACTATACTATGTACGTTATCAGTATTATTAAATAATCAGAATGTGGACTTTCCAACTTCAGTAAGATTTAAGAAAATTTAGAAAACTAATGGGTAGGTTTTCATTGTTAGAAATGACATGATTGAACAGAATCAGTAATGAAGGTGACCTATCTGTACCCTGCCACAGATATGCTGCTTCTATAACTTCTCTCCTGAAGTGTGATGGACACTACTTGCTGGAGACTTTGGAGTATGACCAGACTAAGATGAATGGTAAGTACAATATGTAACATATGTGAATTTAACCTGTCATGGGTAGAAGCTGCATGCTGCTGCAGTTAATCTAGTGTCCACTATTTTGATGCACTGCAACTAGTATGAAATGAAGGTTCAATGATTTTACAATTACTAGTACAAATGTAGTATGCCTCACAATGTTATGTTGATGTTGCAGGACCTCCATACACCGTTCCTGGACAAGTAGTAGAACAGTTGTATGGTGAGTATGGGTTAGGCTGTATTTTTGTACAGAAAAGCACTGGAATCCTGCTTGAAATTCTATGGATTTAAAGTATTTGAACCAATTTTCCAACAGTCAATAAAAATGAGACTTGCTAGTAGATTCACTAACCGTCTTGTCCCTTTGATGTTGCGTAGTGTATGACACAATTTCCTTGCCTGTAGGTGCCAAGTGGGACATCCGACATCTGGAGACAGGAGATGGCATGACAGCCAATGCCAGGAAGTGGGGTCTTCAGTGGATGACCAAAAATGTCCAACTTCTCAGTCTCAAACCTTTAAGTTAGTAATCCTGAAGGGGATCATCATAGGATATAATCTACCTCGCTTGGGTGTAATTTTATGGTGCAATCTCGTGTTAATTGTACAAACGTGTCATGGTGTATTTCCACTTCTCATGCAATATGTGATTGAAGCTGTTATTTTATGACACTTGTGCTGGTAGAATTGAGGTGTAGTTAGTTAGTTAACATGCTTTGTGAATGAAACTTTTCAATAGTAAATAGAGTCAATACATCATTCTTCCTGTTACAGAGAAGTGAAACTTTATTCAAAAGTGTTGCTCAAAGCACAAGTACTCGACAGGTCCAATCATGCACAGATACAAAAATATATCCCAAAATGACAACTATATTGCAACATCTCCCTTCATCACTCTTGTATATACTCTTTCATACAGTTCTCTCTCAGTGTACCTATGGTACACACCTTAAATATCTATACTACATAGATAACATTCTATTTCAAACCTTCTTAGTATGACACCAGCAACATCACTGTTTCAAAACCAACTTGGTTTCACTGTCAGACCTTCAAATACTCTTCACAGAATCACCAAATTTTACAAACATATATTAATGGACCAATATATCAACAAAATATTTGAATGTATGTAAGTGTTAGTAACTTACAATAAGTATACTCATACATAAAACAACATGACAAGTTGGATGAGGTAATTACATGTTATACATGATTGATATGTGCCATTTGGTTGTGTTGCAAGAAAATGAACATGAAAATATCAACTCTTAGGAATACATACCTTTGTATTTTAGTCACAAGAAAGAAGGCAACACAACACATCATATCAGAGAATATTGCAACCACTTAGTTCTTGTGAATTTGTTAATAGTAGCATTACAACACTGTTGACAAACGTTTTGTGACTTGTCTTTAGCACAAGTTGAACAGCTGTAGCAGGGCAATATGGAAATAGCCATCTACATGATTGTACAGTCATGTATACTGCAAATGCTTTGACTACCATTTAGTGGATGGAGTGTGTGTCTCTAACTGATCACAAACCAAAAAACAATGACAGGTTCTAGAAATCAAAGGCACACACTGCCAAAGGCAACACTGGTTAAAGCACTATACAGGTCCATATGAAGAGATACACAGAGATGAAGGGCAGGCTGAAGACAGCTAGCATCTCAATCTGACTTCAGGTGATTTGATCTTGAGAACCTCAACAGTCAAATGATACTAATTATAAGTCTTCTGCTCTGTTTCATTTTCAAGGTTGCAAAATCTGAGGAGTTGCAAAGAGATCTGAGAACCAAGTCTGAAGAATGAAAGAGAAAGTGTCATAAAAATAAACTCAAATTTTAAGAAATAAGTTGAAATGCTTAAAGCCATCTCTCTTGGTCCACTATAACCAGGCATGACGATTAGAGAACACTTAGTATGATTTTAACAGTGAATCGTTATATGATTTGAGGTGCAATTCTTGTCTCTACATTTCCACATCAGCCATGACATACTGCACAGCAACACTATTACAGAATATCATAAATTCTAAAACAGCATATGACATGTACAACCATTACTTTATCAGTAGACATAGTTACAGCTATGATCAATCCCCTGCTTTCCGTTAGATTTACTTTTCTCTCCTTGATATTCAAAATGCTTCAATGAGGCTTATGGAAAATTAATTAAGTTGTTTTTTCTCTTTTGCTACATAAGATAGACTTTTAAGTTAGTTTCTACTCTTCATTCATTCACAGAAATAAACATGACAAGTTCCAAAGTGTATTTTGTGTTAGTAATTTCTGTAAACAACTTTCAAAATCTTCCATGCCAGATGTAGTCAGAGTTGATATACATATACTCAGCATTTGGGAAAGGAGCAAATGAACACAATATTTTGTGGATCCCCTAGTTTACCCAAAGTGCATTATGCACTGTACAAGATCAGTTTCTCCTCCTATGAAAGGCCAGGTTAATGCTCCATTTTTGGTCATGTTGGCAATAGTCCACTGTTTTCTTAACAAGACAGCAGCTGTATGATGTAGCTAAGTGATGCAAGCATTGCAGAAGTTTAGCCATGTGATAATCTCTGTCATCATATATTAGTTAGCAGCTATGACATGTATTTTTGCATTGTCTGCCAACAGAGAAGTGGTGAGTATCGTACTACCAGTAGTATCCATAAGTTATATAGCTCTTGAGAGGTACCTATATGTAGGACAGATATTTTTCTACTTATGCACTGGCAAAGGCAAGAACAAAGCATAATTAATATACACAAACAGACAACAGAGATGACACAATTCATGAGGACTGCACAATGAGGACTTACACATAGTTGAGGTGAACAATTCTTATATAGTTACAATGAACAATATTTCTTTTGTTACTACATACATATATTACAGACTATACACATCTAAGGCCAACCACAGACACAATGACCACATCACGTTGGACACTATCTTACATGACTATTTACTGTGGTGGTGGCCATGGCACATCCTGGCTACTCGGTCCCCTTCCCAACGTGATAGATTTCATGCCAGAACTTTTCAGTGGCTGCAGGAGCTACAAATGTACAGGGATAGAAGGAAGGTCACCACATTGGGTCTATGGCTTTTCCTATGTCAACAACTGGCTAACATTTTACACAGTATTACAAACATTATATAACGTAACTAAAACAGGAAACTGGTATACGTACTTGGAATGCCAAGATAAACAAATTTGATGCATATTCAAACTTAAAAAACATATTCAAAATGTTACAATACTGTGAAACTTTCTTTAAGAACTAAATTTCAAACCTGTACAAAATATACTTTATAATGAATATATAAATTTAATAAAATCATCCATACAGCTGTGCACCTTCATATTGAACATAAAGCAGCTTTTAAATGAAGTAAAAGCATACTTGATTGTTCTGCACACATACAATAAGTACACTATACAATACACAGGGTAGATCTTGGGTACAAAGTTTGTCAGCAAACTTTACTCTAAGCCGCAGGTTCACTCTGCTCTGGTCGACCATCATCATTGGGATTCTTACTTTTCTGTTTGCCAGGCTGGTCGCTGGCATTGGCATTTTCATCTTCTTTCTTATCATCACCAGCAGCAGTGTTGTCTGGTGGGCTGTCTGCTTCCCCGTCTGTGGCAGCATCATTTCTGTTTTTGTAACCTGACAAACGACAGATACATTAAGTCAAAAAGTCCAGAATGTCTGCAATTCCTATACAACATACTGTCACACTCACTCACTCACTCACACTCACTATCGGTCAGTTTATTGTCTGTTGTAGTTGACATTATTTCCTTGATATACATGTACGAGTATAGCAATGGAAGGCATTCACTTATTCTGGTGGTAACTACGAAATAGTTGACAGGTCACTCTAAGAGCATAAATGTTTTCTTTTTCAATGAAAACTTACAATGTAGTGATGAAACAAATACATAAACTCTATGTAGACATACACTGTACCTTCTTCCACCAGCTCTCTTTCTGTCTTCCCATCGTCTTCATCTTCATCCAACCACCTGTATGCAAGAAAACAAAAATACACCAGAGTCAGGTGTATAATAATAAACCTGGCAGTAGCAGTTGGCAGTACTGTTGCTAATCACTCAAGGCTATGCACGAGTCAGTTAGTCTGAAGTCCAACTTCAAAGTTGAAAAAAATTCTTGCTTCTATGAAAGAAACTGAGAATGTGAACTACAGGAATGTTTGTGAAACCACCTTCTTGGTGAAACTGACCTGTCACACTGGAACACAAACTCCTCATCTGTAGCCTCAGATTCTTTGATGATCACCTTATCTAAGTACCAGCCAGACCCTGGAAGGATAGGAGGGGAATACATTAAGCATTTGTAGAAAATCACACCCTTCTAAAGTCTATTTAATTCATTAGAACCATATTATATCATCATACAAATGCCAAAACAAATAAGATCTAATGTACAAGACGTATTACTATAGAAGCAATCTTACAATTATAATAACATTGAAATCTTTGAATCACATGCAGAAGTAGACAGATCATAAGTCATGAAAAGTTATTGTTTGCTTTGCTATATCTCACTGATGGACCTGGTGATTAACTTAAGATGTGCTATAATAATTGTGCAATAATTGTGAAATACAAGGAATGGGGAAAATATGGGTAACTCACCCCTTCCTTTCCCATCATGCCCTATCACAATCCTCTCAGGGATTCCCACCGGCAGGGTTTCAACTTGGAACGTATCAACCTGAAAGGAAACGGTTGGTTAAGATTAATTGACACCAACATTTTCTATTCTAATGAAATAAAGAATGAATTTCTCTTCTTATATCTGAGAGGTAAATCACGAGAGAGATAAACTAAAGGAATTTCTCGTTAGAAGAATCAAGAGTCACTCTAACTTAAACATAAAGGTGTAAAACAAAACATTTCATTCCTTTACTAGTTACATATAGCCATAATTTACAAACACCCTGCCAGATAGAAACATTGATGACTCACCCCTCCAGATTCAAACTTGTTGTGATCTTCCATGTTGTTGATGAGCTGGAGCCTTGTTGAGGCCCCGTTGCTTCCATAGATGACCATGTGCACTGTGGAGTCAGTGCCTGCACCAAACTTGTCTCCAGTGTACACCTTGACTATGTAGTCCTGCTTCTCTACAGGCAGCTCTCTCTCCAACTGTCCTTCACCTCTGTCTTTGGACAGCCAACTTCATTGGAAAGTGGTAAAAACAAAAAGCATTTAATTTCATTTTTGTGCGTACCTCTAAGATAAGCAAATTTAACTGTAACTTGAAAATGACTACAGACAGTGTTTAGCCAAACTAACACGATCCAACTTTTAGCACCTGTATATAAATTCTGAACATGTTGGACAGAAATGATAGAACTGTGCGACAGGGTACGATATGTATAATTTTCAATATATCCTTTATTGTACAGATTAAACATTCCTAAACCTAGAAGCCAGTACAGTATGGTACAGTACTATTTTTTACCATATCTTTGTGCAAGGTAGAAATGTAAGCTATCACCACTTCAGCACCAAGGACAGAGACAGGGCAACAATGATGTTTTTCTCTTGCTGAGTTTGCAAAGTTAGTAAAAGATGTGAGAGTATCAACAGTAACTGTACCTGTTACAGATGAACTGGAAACTTTCCTTACTGGACGGCGACTCCTTGATGATCACCTTATCCAGGTACCAGTCTGATCTGGAGCCGTCATGGCCGATCACTATCTTAGTCAGGTCAGACAAGGACACAGCCTCCACCTCAAACAGGTCCACCTGGAACATGGCACATGGCTCAACATTTAAAAACATAATATGCAAAATACTAAATAGATAGTGCTTCTTAATGTCATTAACAGATGGGTCTGATATACAGGGATGACATATTATAAAGTTTCAAGTCAGATACATGTATCTACTATACAGAACCATGTACTTCTGAGGCACAAGTCTGCTGTTCTTGGACAGAATATTCCTGAGCCAATTTCACAGCTTTGTGTCTGTCTGCACTTACCATTCCTCTCTGGAACGGTGTGTGATCGTTGAGTTTGTTGACCAGCTGTCTCTTCCCAGTGTCCCCTCTTGTGCCATACATCGTTATGTAGACCTGAGAGTCTGTAGCTGCCTCCTCCAGGTCACCAGTGCGCACACCAACCTGGTACTTGTGAACTGGTGTGAAGCAGAGGAGCTCAATTATTAAGATATATTTGTGCCAGAACATTTTCCAAAAAATGAAATGTGTTTTTTACGAAAAAGAAGTGTATTACTAAGCAATCACTTCAGCACCAAGGACAGGTATTGTAAAGTGAAATGCTACATACAGGGGTGAAAGTTATGTTTTACTATTTCTGACTTTGCGGAGAGAAAGGTATAAGATATGAGAATGCTGCTTTACTAGTGCCACAAACTTGAACGTCAATCGTACTCAATGGCTAGGGATGTCTGTACCTGGTAGTGTTTCCTCCCCCTCTCGTACAGCGGGCAGTTCACGGCAGGTCTGTCCATCGTCCTGGTTGGTGGCCAGCCAGCGCTCACAGGTGAACACCAGGGTCTCACCTGAGCTGGGGTGGGACAGTTCCACCTGGGACAGAACACAATACATGTCAACAAGAGACATAACACAACACTAAGAAATTAGTATGGAAATAACCTTTTAGTATAAGTAACTATCAATGGTCGTATTTGTGATGACTTTCAAATTGCAAGGGTAAGACATCCCCATTACATGGTGACACATGATATTCTTTGGTCACAGATATAATTCTATTTCCACAGTCCAGCCATGACAGCTAACAGAACAATATTATCATAATCCGCTGTTCTGTACCTTGTCCACTTTCCAGCCTGGGTCTGTTCCACTGTTGTCCTGCTCCAACCTGATCTTGTAGATCTTCCCAACATCTCCAACTTTCACCTGGGAACAAGGGTACAACAGCTTTAGCAAGATGTAACTTTTCTGCAAAATGCACTTTATCTTCAGTCACAAATGTTTTAGAAAGGAAATCCGCTTTTGTGTTACTTCTACAAGAATGCACACTTACATCAAACTCATCTATTTTCCCTCTCTCGAAGAAGCCGCTCTGTCCGACGCCCAGCTGCAGGGGTCCTGAGTTCCCCTGGTCCCCGTACACAGTCAGGCTGACCTGGGCATCTGTGCCTGCATTCACATCCTCACTGGTCATCACACGCACCGTCCAGTCATCTGGGGGGAAACAATAAATATATCTTAAGAGTCAGTTGAAGTCATGAAGTTCAATGTCATTCACGCCTGGCCATATATGAACCAAAACAGAAGTCATATGAAAACATAAAAGAGAGTGCAATTTCCTTTTGACTTCTCAGTACATGTAATATGGTCCTTTTTGTTACATTCCATTTTTTTAAATTATTTTTGGATTGTTACAATGGCCAACATCTCCAAACTTTCATCAACAATGATTTCTCAAAATCATCTATTCTACAATATATTGGCAGTTTACAAAATTTACTGCACCTTTTCTGTTGTCTGTGGTCTCCTGTGGTGGAGGTGTGGGCTGGGCGTGGTCAGGAGACTTGGCAGAGGGCGAGTTGTCATCCTGAACCAGCAGTTCTCGCTCTATTAATTTGTCATCTTCATTTTCATCCAGCCACCTGTACAACACAAAAACTCACACTCTCATCTTACGTAAAACAGATACCCAAATCTATCATTTCATCTTTATTAGAAAATTGAAACATGTGATATACATGTATTAAGCAGAATAAAATCATATCTTTTTGTACCTGTTACATGGGAAGGTGTACTTCTTGTCTGCACCTGGAGACTCTTTGATGACCACCTTGTCCAGATGCCAGCCTGATCCTATTGACAGGATAGAATATTTGTGACACAGCCCTGTAAACTATGATCTCTAAATACAAAGTAACTTGTCAGATATGATCACAGTTAGGCCTTGGATACCTCACACTAAGGCTACAGATAGCTATGCAATCACAGTTACATTGGATATCTCACACCAGGGCTATAGCTAGGTATAGTGTCAATCTTTCACAAGACTGTGAAGTTGACTTGAAGTTAGCTGGAGAGGCTAATAATGGAGCATGTTCTTCATGACTTGACTTTGGGACATGCTAGATTCTCAGGATACTGAAGTGAGAAATACTGACCCAGTCCATGTCCATCATGGCCGATGACAACCTTCTGTAGCTCGCCGAGGGACACAGCCTCCACTTCAAACAGATCCATCTGCAACACAAACAGCAAAACTGTCAATATAAAGGCACAATCTCAACACTGCTAAATCAGTAATAAGATAGAAAGGTTGAGGTATATGTCATGTAAAATTGAAGTGAAAGACTGAAATTACTTTACTGTAGAAATTACTGAAATGACATAAACATTTGTTACAAGGAATAGTGTTGATGCAGCAGTAAAATGATTGACACATGTCACTCACCTGTCCCTGCTCAAACTTCATGTCATTGTTCTGTGACCTGACCAGCTCTCTCTTCCCTGTGTCTCCTCTCTGCCCATATATGGTGATGTAGACGTTGGAGTCTGTCCCTGCGCTGAACTGGTCAGTGGTGTGGACCTCCAACTGGTACTTCAGCACTGTGGACAGGGACAGGGATAGTTCCATTAGGGTCAAAGTTTACCAAATGTTCCTTCTCATACGCTGTCTTATACTGCAGCCTTTTGTACCATCAGGTACCTAGCTTCTCTACAGATGGAAGACCAAAATTTTGCATGAAATGTTGAAAGCTTTTTATTGTGTCAAATGAGACCACAAACTACCATCCAATGTAATAATTCAAAATCTAACAGGATGTCGAATTCTGCTTATTCTTTCAAGTCCAGTTAAATGAAAAACGGTAGGACTGAGGCTTTTAGAACGCAGCAGAGGGTAAGCTGAAGAAGCATACATTATTTCAGGGGATGAATTTCCTTATTGTAAGCTAATAACATGTACAAGTAAACAACAGAGCTGCTTATACCGTTCGTAGAAAACTTGTTACGAAGATTTTTAACAGTTCAGGTTGTTGACTGGTGTGTAAAAGTTCCAGCCTTGCCACCATCTGTGTGACCTTACCAGGAAGTGTGTCCTCCCCAGGCCAGACCGTGGGGATCTCCATCCACACATCCCCATTACTAGAGTCTGTGGCCAGCCAACGTTTGGGCTGTGAGCTGAACTCTGCCAGGGTGTGCATGTCCTTCAGACGGATCTGGGGAGTCGGCAGGAGCAAGATGAAGTCAAAGTTTGTTTACCCTAACCAGAATACTTCTTCTTCTTCTTCTTCTTCTTGCGTACTCTCTAACCACCCCTACTGGGGTATCACTGAGAGGGGGGGGGTGCGACGGACTATGGCTGCGCGGCCAGAAGCCCGGCCTTGAAGGCCTCCACTGTCTGGGCTTTTACAAGCTGGCCCGGTAACTTGTTCCACTCATTTATCGTTCTTGGAAAAAAAGAAAATCTAAAACAGTCTGTTTTGGCAGGTATTGCTTGATACTTATATTCATGACTTCCTCTGGTACGCCTATGGGCAGGTTTGAGGTATTGTTCCATTTGGATATTAATATGTCCATGAGTAATTTTATACAAAGATAT